TGGAAATTAATTTGCAGAAATCCTTTCCTAAAACCCCATGCATCTCTGTTAACGGGTAAGTCGCTAGTAGGAGAGCCCTTCCACGTGACGTATATCTCAGGCAAAAACACAGGAAGAGCTGCTCACTTTCTCTCCTTTGATAGCTTGAAAAATGAAACTGCATGAATTTATTCTAGCACATTCAGGCCCTTGTAATTCACTTGTTATGAAAAAGATAAACGTACAGCTGCTTGGGAGCTGAAATACGGTATTTCTGAAAGACAACATTGCAAGGGCTCCTTGGGAGCAGTTTTCTGCATGTTCCTCCTTTTGCTGCGTGTTTTCTATTATAGTTTAGGAGATGATGGGAAGGTTTACTTGTGACTGTATTTTGTTTACATTGGGCTCATATTACTGGCTGCCAGCTTTGATCCTCGGCTGCTGGGGATGCAGAAAATTAATGGAGTCTTCAGCCCAGGCATTATGATAATAGAGTGAGGATGTGCCATCACCACCCACGTGACTCAGTAGCTCATACTGCCAGTACGCTCTTTGCCCTTTGGGTTGCGGTATTAATAACCTTGATATTTTGTATTTCGGTTTTTTGAAGTTGGCCCTGACGTGCCTAAATACAGGCAAGTTGTTGGAAATGCAGCAAGAGGAAATGGCAGGGAAGACGTTTTCTTTTTGGGAACATACCTCTTTACTGGTGGCAGGTTTTCTGCCTTTCTGAAAGCAAACTCGAAGGCGCTTGATTAGTCTTAGCCAGCCTGAATGAGGGCTCGTGTTTTCAGAGGGCTGCTGCAGAGGAAGAACTGCAGTAAATACTGCCAGGGATATTGCAGCACTGAACTCTGAATAGCTGTGCTGATCTCGCCTGGCTGCTGAGCTGGCCGTGCACCATTGTTTTCCTGTTTCTTTTGTTGTATTTTGAGGGGAAGACAAAAGTGAAATGGGATTTTAGGGAAAGGGATGGGGGGGTGGGGGGTGGGGGGCTGAAAACTTGCATGCTTTTTTCTTCTTCTTCTTTTTTTTTTTTCTTTTTTTTAAAGAAATTGCAGCGGGAAGGAGACAGGAAGCTAATGCTGAGGGAGGGCATAGATATCGAAAGGATATGGAATAGATGGAAATTAAAAGGTGGATCAGAAGAAGCAGGATAGGTGGGTTGCTTGGTCACCGCATGCAAATAATGGTAGGAGGTTGTGGGAAGGGATTCAGTGGTTTCTCTGCTCCCTTCTTGGCTCACCTTGCTCACCTTGGCTCCCAGTTAAGTGCCTGCACCTCTGGTGTGCTGTGGCTCCTTTGGAAGACAGAGTCTGCAAGCTGAAGGTACGACGTCTTGGATGATGGGCAGTAAGTAATACAGGGTGGTACTGTGAGCAGTCTCATTCGCGGACGTGACTGTGAAGGGCAAGATACAGAAAGCGATGAGAGCAACCACATCCCAAAGGTATGGGACCTCAGCTGCTTGTGTGTAAAGAGGTGGCCTGCCATGACAGCTTGAATCTTAATGTGTGACTGTGTACCATCCGCTCGGCCGTTACATCTCTAGTGCTTTTTCCCTTCCCCCTACCTGTAGCAGTGTGCTTCATTTCGTAGTTTTACTGTCTGGAAGTCGCTGGTGAGCAGAGAAATACGGTACAAAGCATACACCGTTTTTGCCCGCAAAGTATTTACACAAGTTAGCAGCAGTAGAAATGAGGTGGCTGCCTGTGCTTCCCGTGGTTGCTGCCTATGCAAGCTCTGAGAGATGTCGCGGAGGGTGCAGGCTAGCTGGGTGAGGTCCTCAGTACATCCAATAAAAGTAAGATGGAATAGAAAACATTTAATCAATGCAACTTGCTGTTCGGAAGGTTTCCAGTGTGTGCATCTCACAATTGGCTGTAAAATAGCCTGGGTGTATATTGCAAAATTTACACACTTAGATAAACAATTTGCCATCAAGAGCAGCATTAGGACAGAGAAAACAGGACGAGTTTAGGTTCCGAGAGGGACTGGAAGGCATAGAAGAGTCTCCTCCTGCTGTTGTTTTCTTGATCCTGGTAAGATTGAGACTCAAGGGAAATTATTGCCTGGAGAAATCGTTCCCTTATGACTTACTCCACCGTAACGGCTGGAAAAGCACGAAAAGGATTTTCCGTCCATCTCCCCTCTCCTCAGCCATGCTGACTAGTTGGGCAGACGCAGCCCGGTGCTCTGTTCCATGTTTTGGAAGTGTGGGAGCAATTTCCTGTCTGGTTCCCGTCTAGTAAGAGAGCTCTGGGAACTAACCACGCAAAATACCTACCGAGGGCCTTGCTGGAACGGTGAGCGCCAGCTCCTTAGCATCCTGCCCCCTGCCTCCGTGAAAGAGCTGTGCCAAAAGTCACAATCTGCCCCACAGCTAACAAGCTAACAAGCCTGTTTTCAGCTGCTGTTAAATTATTTGCTGTCTTGTATAAAAATACTTGATAACTACAGCAGCAAAGTCCATAGCTCTGAAATGGGCAGGCTGATAGAAGACTGAGAGTCTGGAAGAACCCTGTCCTGTAAGACAGGGTATCTCTGTAGTCTCCAAACTGCTTAAATGCAGTCGTTTTCACAATAAGGAAGCATAAAATACGCATCTCCAATCCTATAAAAAGCTCCTGAAAAACAAAATTGTGAGACCCAGCTCTTAAAATTGCCAGCTAGTTTCTTAAGTATTTCTTGTATGCGGGAGTCAAGGGGGTTAGCTCCTCAGCTTTCAATTCTTTTGACGGCAGCGGGCAAATTTTCTCCTGTTACTTGCAGCAATAGGTAACAGCTTCTTTGAAGCAGATTTCTAGTTTGTTTTTATGTAGCTATTAAGCTCTTTCTGCTTTGGATTTCTTTTTCGCTTTATCCCAGGAAAGTTTCCTCAGAGCTACAATTTATTAATTGGAAAATGACTTTTTTCGTTTCCCCCCTAAGACTGTATCCGGTGACTAGCAGCAGATGTTCGCAAGAGGCACATACAGCATGTTACGCAGCAGTTAGGAGCTGGCAGCGTGGAAGAGGATACAGGAGAAGGGCTGGCACTCAGAGTAGTTGTCTTTTACCTCGCTGTAAACAGGCAAATTCCTGCAGAACAGCCTGTATTTGTCAGCTTTTGGACCAAGCTGGTGAGGAGGCCGCCCACTGCCCCGAGGAGCCAGCGTTGTTCTAGCAGTTGCAGGATTACCAAGACCTTGGAAATTTATCTTGCAGGAATCCCAAACCATTTTCTTGGTGTGGTTGAGGGCAGAACCAGAATATTCTTTTGCTGACAAGCTGGTTGCGCTGCGTTGGCTTGTGGGGGATTTGTGGTTTTGTGTGTGTGGGTGTGGTGGTTTTTTGTTTTTGTTTTCTTTTTTTTTTTTTTTTTTTTTTTTTTTGGCTAGGTGGGTAAAAGCTTGCCTCCTTGACCCTTTTACTAAGCCTGGAATGTAAAGTGAAGCAGGGTTTGCATGAAGAGCTTTCCCTTCTCTGTGCTCCCCCTGGCCCTTCCCAATCAGATGCTGGGGTTTTGCGAAGTGAGAGGAGCCTAGGCGGGTGTCGCCGAGTCTTTGAGGCTGAAACAACGTAGTGGAGTACAAAACCTGTTCCGTTAGAACATGTTTTTTGAGAGGGCGAAAATGTCAACAGGCAATCGTAAGATTGTAGAACTGAACGGCTGATAGCAGGGAAACATGTTTGTTTGTTTGTTTGTTTGTTTGGATGTTCATTGTTTGCTGTATTTTACTGTAGATGTTTCTTCTCTGAGAATGATTTTATTAATCCATCCTGAGGGAATCGGTCTTCATTTATACACTTATCCCCTGAGCCAAATATACAGGCAAGTCCCCAAAGTTTAGCCAAGAGAAGTACACAAACGGAAGGTAGTAGCTGACAGCAATAATAGCAGGTATGACAGCACAGAATTCTACTGTCTGGTACTAGTGAAGACTTACAAATACGTTCATTTAAAAATAAAAAAAAAAAAAAAATCAGCATCTGTGGGGTGCACGGAAGGGGCTTGAGTGTGTCCTCTTGTATTCTTCATTGTCGAAGCACATTAGTACAATTTCTCTCTCAGAGTATCCCATCGAATTTTTAAAATAAAAATGCCTTCAGTTGTCCTTTACATTTCACTCCGTAACTGGGCAATGGGGAGAACACAAGGAAGACTAATGCAATAATCTGAGCTCCTGAGGAAAAGCCCAGCAAAGCTGCTGCTGTAGGAGCATAGTTACTAAGCAAATGCTGGTAGGCTGCGGACACCGTGCAAACACACACACACACACACACACACACACACACAGGCAAAAGAGCGGACTGAAAAACTGGTCTCTGCAAACCAGGGCTAGGAAGGAATGAGTGGATTGCAGGGTAGATTGAGCACCTGTGGCTGAAGAAAACTTACTGAGCAGCAGGTCCTCCTCCGGCTTTACTAATGGTGACACAGAAGTAGCGCTTCCCTGCTTCACAGACCTGCTGAGTGGGGTAATGAGCTAATATACTGTGCTTATATTATCTTCAGGATTCACGTTTCTTACTCCTCTGCCTCCTTAGCCAGGAATAATCTTTACCTTGTTATGTTTTCACTTGCGGCTTGAACTTTAGCCAAATGGCTCACAGAAGTAGTCATCCAGATATAATTAACTCATCATTCTTTTGGCTCTTCTCAGAAACAGCAGTGGTTTTGGATTTTCTTGTTCAATTAGGACTTCTTTTTCCTAATAAATTCCTAAGTAATAGGAATGGTATTGGAAGCGGAGATCAAACTGGGTACGCCTAGGATAAGCGAGGAGTGAAGAGCTTTGCAGGAAGGGGTATTACATTAAGCAATGAGCTGTGCTTTAATGATCCTAATGCTAGAACAGCGCTAGCGTAAAATAAAGCGTAACAGCACGGTGATAAAACTAAGCGTGCCTGGCAGGCTTTTGAACTGGGTGGTCGCTAAGGCTGGAGACCAGTAAGGAAACAAACACGCCAAAAAAACTAGACAGACAGGTCGTCTTTTGGCCTGGTATACCACATGGTTTTTATTGATAATGTGATCTCTTCAATGCAATGAAAGGCATTAATTACAAACAGCTTACAGCAAGGTGACCTATATCAAAGGGGTAACCCAGAGCCACAGAGATTTATTAAGAGAATAAAACCCCCCCAGAAACCAAGATTATGGTGACCTCACCTGCCGGCTTTTAGATCTGAACCTTGCTGGAAGGGTAGTCAAAAAGGGGCGGGGCAGAAGCTGAAATACCACTGGGAGGTTTTAGCTTTAAGATGTGACAATACTGTACCCTCTTGTGCTCTCTACCACAGACCGTCCTTCTCTCAGCGCTGCTTAATCTGCCACTTCTCAGTAGGTTGTATGGCCTGCTCTTTACTGCTTCGGCCTGCTCCGCTTGGCTGTTAGTTGTAGATGTAAGAGAGTGAAGACCTATATATGTTACTAAGATCTTGAGGCAAATATACGGGAGGGGGATTTTTTTTCAGGTGTAAATAATTTTCCTAACTTCTCCTTAGTTTTGTTTCATTTAACCGACAGTAAATTTGGAGTCATTTGGGGAAGCTGGAATTGTCATCTGTGAGATCACTGGTGCATGATCACTGTAGATTTCATAGGTCTTCCTCACCAACAGCTTGGAAATTCTACTGCTCCAAGCATAAAAACTGTGTGGCCACACGAGGAAAAATACAGCTCGTGATTATTTTTGCTGCCCGCATCCGTCTAGGCAGGTTGAATGCTGGGCAAAATATGACATTAAACGACGTGGAGCAGCAGCCCATATTCCGGAGCCTCCCCGTAATGGCAGTCAATTACCTATCATAAAGCTCTGCCACTTGATGGAGTCCTGTGACTTCAGCAAATACCGAAACATAGCAGGCAAAGATGCGTTAAGTCACAAGCGGCATCTGTGGAAGCTTAGCGACATGGAGCGAGGACAGGTTCACTGCTTTAAAAAAGAATGCATCCAGGTGGATTCAAACAGATCCAGAGAAAAGGTTTCTTTCTTCTCAGTATTCTACAGAAGTCTGGTTGTGATTACGTACCGATAGCCCTTACCTTTGTTACATGTTTTGAAATACACTGTAGTCGTTTATCAAGTTGCTAAAAGGCAGAGTTCTGCATTTGGGACTTGAGTGCCGGAGGCAAAATGTCATTAACTCGCTTCACCTTGCAAAAAAATTTCATCATTCTTCAGATGCAAGATAAGTAGAGCATATTTGTATTTCACACGCTCATCTCAGGATAATGATATGCTCCATATTTGTTTCCTCTTTTGTACTGTGGTTAGAAAAAAGGTGTTGATTGTTAATACCTGATTTACCTGAACTGCCAAATACAGCGGTCAGTCAGATCTATTAGGATTCACAGAGCAGGCTGGGCACATGAACAGACTGCAGATTAACAGGCACATTAACAGATTAACGTTAATGTTTTAAGAAGCCTTTGAAAGAGCTGTCGCTACTGTTACCTTAGTCAGTGCTTTTTTGTTACATTATTGCGTCCTCATTGTTACAACACTTTGTTTCATCAAACACTTTCAGACTTACATTTCCACTTGTGTTTGTGCCTAAGGCTGGAGGTTGGGAGCAGAGGGAGGGACCTTTAGGTCCTTCAATCTAGATAAAAGTGAAGAGCCTACATCCCCGGGGAACATCAGCAAGCACACACGTTTTCATCACTGTGTAATGATCCCGGAGAAGGAACACCTAAACCTGGAGAACGCGGCAGGAGTTTGGGCACGGTCGGGCACACTGCATCCTGCCTTCCAACTACATGAAAGCCAACTACATCTGCCCTTGTTACACCACAGTCCCATATGTATCGTGCCGAGTGCTCAGCTGAAAACATGCCAGTACAAAGACATGGTGGTGATGGTTTGTCACTGCAAGAGAATGAGGATTTTTTTTCCCCAACCGTGTGCTGCTAGTTAATCCAACCACATTTTGAAGTAACTTAAGCGTTAACATACAGATGTAGAGAAAAGCAAAACATTAGCGTCTGTAATTACTAAACAAGTGGAGGGGAAAAGATGCAAAAACCAACAGCGTTTCCTGACAGGAAACGCAAAAAGTGAAAGAATATCAGACTATTTCTCTGCCCCTGAATTCACTCATGACCTGAATGGGATGGATTCTCTTCTTTGCAGAACCTTTTCTGACAGCTGCACAGATTTCTTCTGGCTTCTCTCTTTTAATTAGGGGCTTCTTCTCTGGAGCTTTCATTCTCCACATCACAACAGGGTGTCGCGGGCCAGTAGGACTCTGAATCTTGATAATCTTTGTGGACGCAATATAGGACATCTTTACTGTCTGCACCACAGCGTTCATTAAATTTTTGGCAGCCTGAATTAGTGAAGTGACACTATCCAACTGTAGCAAGAAACAGAAACGTTATTCGAGGGAGGCAGTCTGTCTTTAATCACAGTATGCTCAGGAATAAAAACAGTTTAGAAGTACGCTTAACATACTAACACCTAATTCTTTGTTTTCCCTTGGCATGTTTATTAATTATATTCATGTTGTTCCACTGCTCAGACTTGAAGAGATATACAGCAGTACTGTGCTGGTGGAATGTAAATGCCCATGTGGATGATCGATTTTTTTTTTTTATTATTACTTTTTTTAAAACGTGAATCCGTGCTGCCTGTGTGCTGGGTATCACTGCAATTGCTACTGATGGGTAATGCCACCCCCTTAAAGAAGAGCTGTGAAAACGCTACCCGGTGTTTCCTTTGCCATCAGCATTAGGCAAATTCTCCAGCTGCTCCTACCACCTTCCGGAGTCTCTCGCCTGCTCCTCAGCAGTGCAGGGATGCTGCCTAGAAAGTAGCTGGATTCATCAGAGCAGCGACCAAGATTGTTAATGGTAAGAGCGAGCAGGATGGCACACAGAGACTGAAGTGACTTCTGTACCCTGTCAGACTTTTCAAGCAATCCCACCCTCAACAGGCCGAATGCGTAACAATCGCTTGATTCACCTGCAACTGTATTCGAGTGCATGCTACGTTTAACAAACGTTAAAGCACGTCTTCCTTTAATGTTCCTGGAAACGACAGTATATTTAATTCTGACTGAAAAATCTCCTAAGTGGAACAAAAATGGCAGCATTCATTCGCATGCCAACTCTACCTTGGTGCTCTGGGGTGTAACATAAACAAACTGATTGCACTGCTCCTTTCATACATCTGAGGCTTATGACATTCACAGCGTGTAGGCACTGGAAGCAGAAAGTGGAGGGGACATGTTCACTGTCTTAAACCTCCTCCTCGCCCCCCCCCCCCGACTCTAGCAGCCTCGAGAGGGCCTGACTCACCACTGCCATGGCACTCCGCAAGAGGCAAACGCAGCCCTAGGCCACGTGTCTGGTAGAGATGTTTTGTGTTAAACCTCAGTGAACCTTCATCTCCAGCAGTAGGCATGAAATATGGTCAGCAGGCTCCAGACAGATTTCAAGCAGAATGATTGCACCCCAGTTACCACACTGATTGGGAGAACCAGGTTTGGGCTTTACAAAGCCAAAGAACAAGAGCAAACATTTGACTAAAGGCCAACGCTGGCAAAAGAACTCATACCTGTAAACGGCCATCAGTGTGACTTCAAAATGCTTGGAAATGAGAAAGCAGCTTCTCTCAGACAGATGAAGCTCAGGATCATCCTTTCAGTAGTAACAGCTATGTAACTGCTGTATGTTCACTGCAGTTGTGTCTAAGGTTAGGCATTGTAATGCCACCCTTGGGCACCTGAGAAGGTGTCTCTGCATGCCTGGTGTACTGGCCAGGAAAAAAATTATTCTCTCTTGGGTAAAACATTCACAGTTTTGGTTTTGGGCCTTTGGGAAATTGTTTTTTGACAGGGCCATTCGACAGCTGAACAATGCCTGGGTTTTATTTTGAAGCCAGTGCTTGCTGCAGCATTAACATTCTTCCGGATTTGCTTGAAACAGTCTCTTCACCCTTCGACTTAAGCTACCTTTGCTGTTGTCGTAGGTGCAAATGGAGAACTGCTAGGGATACATACGCTCTATAAATCCTATCGGTGACCTGAACTGAATGGCTTTTTAATCTTCAAAGAATACACCACGCTCTCACTGAAAATTACAAGGCTGACAATTTCGTCTCTAGTCTGAATCGTTTTAAGACAGCCCTAGTTTAAATTTACCCAGCAGGCCTACCTGAGCACTTATCCTTTTTTTTTTTTTTTTTTTTTTTTTTTCCCCCCCGGGAAAAGGCGAGTTTCTCCAACGAGCATTTCAAATCAGTTCACCAGGGTGAGCATAGCATCACTTCTTCAAAGAGCTGGTCTATTTTCTGTTTTAGTACAGTGTGCCCTTATATACTGAAAGCCTGTTGTTTAGGAGTACACTTTCATCAGCCTGTGCACTGACGCTGCGGAAGCCCACTGCGCTTTGGTGATGTGAAATTATGAGGAGGATTGCGCTATATGAGTTGTAAGACTGTATTTCAGCGCTTCAACACCCTCTCTGGCTGTTGAAACGTTTCTTCTTCTCAGACGACCGAAGAAGTCAATTCCCTTGAGAACCATCAGTGTTAGTGAGAGCATGCGCTTCAGCGCTGTCATTCGCCCTTGCTAATTCCTTAGGCTTTAATTTGTGAAATTACGGCAGTACACAGCTTTGCAAACAAAACTCTCAGTAACGCTTAAGCGTCTTCTCTCTTTTGTCAAGCCAAATGAACTCACCTGGTAAGAGAGTGCATCGTTGTCTGTGTACAGGTCGATCATGTAACACTTGACACAGACGCATAAATGCAGCGCGGGCAATAATAAAATGCCGCTGAGAGCGAATTTGCATTGTGTGCGAACCCCTTGTAACCAGCCCAAACTGCCTCCAGCTAAAAACACGTTTGTAGCCTCTCTCCGTAAGAGCCACATAGTAATTCCCCTTCCCTCTCCTTCCCCCACGTGCCCTCCAGGAAATTAGAATAATTAGTGGCTGAATGCATATGCGCTGCATGGCAGGACCGAAATGCTCTATACAAGTTTTTTGAGGAAAAGGTGTTAAACGTAACATGTGGCCTATAAAGTTCATTCTTGTTGCAGCATATGAAACGTTCAGCAAGCATTTCCAGTTTATAAAAGTCATGTAACTTTTACATGACGGTATCAGACAGGAGCGTGAAGGACTGTCTTTTATAAACGTTAGCTTCAGGGAAGCAGACTACTGAGCCACTCTGACTAGGCTAAGAAATACAGCATGTTCTTGTACTACTATTTTGAGCAAAATTCAGAGGCGTGACTTGGTGTGTCATGCTTGCCTGACTTGACTAACTAGTGGTGTAGCCATTAGCCCACTGGTACAGCACTTTTAGTGCCTCTCCGTATTTCAGACTGCTGAAGGGTCACTAGCTTGACACAATACGGCTTTCAGTTGTTAGATGGAATGAGCGCGAGCAAGAGGAGCCACTTCATATAAACTTCTTTCCTTCGTGATCATCACAGGATTAATTCTGCGCACACGCACACACACACGCACATGCACACACACACACACACGCGCACGCACGTACGTACGTACGTCTGAATTATCTGTCCTCTGAGGCTGTTGAAACTAATACCTTTCCAGCAACCTCTGAGGGGTTGCTCAACCCCGGAGCAGCTGAGACAGTCATCACCCTGACAGCTCTTTAGCTGGTTGTAAAAAACCTTTTTTTTTTTTTCCCCTCCCCCAACAGGTGCAA